AAGTCTTTTCTTTACACTAAATTAAAAGCAAAGAAGCAAAATACACTCTCCTCCCTTCTCCAGCCTTCCAAAAACAAATTATTTGTAGGTATCAGGTGTCTTTATATGACAGAATTAGCTATAATTTGTCAAAGAAACATTTCTAGACTTTTCCAGAAAGCATTTACTTTTTGTTTGTTTATTTCCTCAGTAATGCTCATAAGGGAAATTTCAGTAATTATATGAATTCTCATAAATTACATCCTAAACAAAAACATAAGGCCATATATAAGACTTTTTTTTTTTCCCGTACTAAACTGAGAAAAGAGTTCTAGTGTTAAAACCACATGTTTTGCTCCTACTCTTCATCTTTTTTAGGTAATATTTGCCCTGAAGATATGAGAAATGAGAACCCTTTTCAGCTTAACAGACACATTTTGCATTCACATTGAATGTGAGAATTACAAAAGCAGAATGGGATTCATTTGTAGTCTTATTTGTATGCCAAAATTCAATTTGTTCTCCTGGCTATGGTTTGTATCATAACAATGTCACAGATTTTGATACACTGTTCCAAATATATTTTTTAAAGGTGATTTGTTTGAATGAAGTTTTTATCTGCATGTTTTACAGCTCAGGTTGGCATGTTAAAGCAGCCTAAAAAGGAAAACATTAAATAGAAATAGTGGAAAAGCATGTAGCAAAAGACATCATTCTGAAACCATTTCCTCCTGTATAGATTACTATGCAGTCAACTGACTTCGTTTTACATGCTTAACAATATGCTAAATTGCCACATATGCTAATATGCCACAGAAAGTTTCAATTTGCAGAAAGTATGAACTTCATCAGCTTAAAAAAAAAAAAAAACTTTACCAGAAAACTTAAAAAAAAAAAAAAAAAAACACTTATAGTATGTCTTCTTCAACACTTGTTGCTTTATTAGGTAAAACTTAAAAGATACTGAAAGCATGCTGATGAAATTTGCTTTTATGAATGAGTTCTTTTGTACTGGGAGAATTAATAAACAATCTAATAAAGTCAGTTTGGAAAACAGACTTTCTTAACAGTTTTTTAGCATCCAAAAACTGAAAATGTTTCTTTCAATACCTGCATTCAGAAGAATAGCTTCTTGTTTACCAAATCATGCACTCCCATAACAGTATCTCCTAAATCTTACATAGTATATGATTTAGCAAAATAGATAGCACTTTTAGCAAATTAATCTACTTCGTTTACTCATGTACTCATGTATAAATATTGTCTTTGGATAAATCCATAAATCCATAAAGCATCATGACTTAGTTTGTCTAACTCGATTAAAAAAAAAAAAAAAAAGCATACATTTCAGATGAATTCCAATGACATTTCAGCTAAAAATTAAAACAATAATTTTCAGGAATACCTGTAGATTTAAAACAAAACTTAAAAACAACATTGAAATAGAAAAGTTTATTTTAAATATTTTTAAAGTCATAAGTTAGAGTTTTGAAATTTTTGTTTCAGGTATCACTTGTTATTTATAATGTTTCTTTTGGATATTTGGATATTTAAATCCTCTTCCATGGTCTTTTTAGTACTGATGAAAAATAAAAAGAAAATTCTTATTTTGACATATACCTCCTCAAAATGAAACAGTCAAAAAAAAAAAAAAACTTTCTCCAGTGAAAAGTTGTTACAGCTAAATTTGTCATTGGGTGTACCCTTGCCTATTCCTTATAAACTAAGAGAAACCTCCTGCAGGTTAATTACTCTCACTGCTTCACTCATTCCATAGTGAAGAGGAGAACTCTGTCTTAGAGTTGAAGCCAGTATCACAGCCTATGCAGATCCAAAGGGCTCCTGTCATTTGCATTAAAGGAAAAAAAAAATCCAAAAAATAAAATAACGTTAAAACATTGCCATCCTTAAAATGTGCAGTTATTGAAGAGGGACAAAGTATATTTTCAGTGGTTTTGACTGTTATCTGACAGCACAGCTACTGTCTAAAAGACTGGTTTTGGAAGGAAGCATACTGTAGTTGGTATTCATAGGTTTTAAAAGCCTCCTACTCTTTACTTTCTTTTCTCCTGGAAAAAAGTGTGATTTTTTTCTTCCTCCTTATCCTAAAAAAAAAAAATCTTATACGAGTCTGCCTTTTCTAGTCCACTTGTTCAATTTACAGTGCTTATGCAGTTTTATTTCCACTCTTCAGGCTTCCCCAGTCTCATTTTGTCCACAAACTCTTACTGTTTTTGTTGTTTTGTTTTGTCTTGTTTTCCATCTATCACAATCTCCAGCTCATCCCTCCCTTCTTGTCACAAGTTTCCCCTATTGCTTTCCATCTCTTTGTCCAGAATATCTTGATCCAGCTAAGTCTATTTTTTTCTCCTCAAGCTCTTTGGTCACATTATACATATTTTGGCTTCCAGTCGCCCCAGGAATGATTTGGCCCAGGTACTTTGCTAGAGTAGTGTTAGTCTCTGACCATGACAGTCAGGCCAAGTTTTTGGTTGGCAAGTTTTTGCTTTCCAATTCAGTCATGTCAATTTTGACACAAAAGTTAGATGTCTTCTGCCGTCACCTTTTCCCCTGTAATTGTAATATCATATGATTCTGCCATCAACTTTTCCCCTGTAATATCATATGATACTGATACTTAAATATTTTTATTACAAAGAAAATAAAACAACCTTGTTTTTTTCCTAGCTTTTTTTTTTTCCCCCTTCAGATATCTAAATTGTTCTTATGGGTTTTCTACAAAAAAAAAAAAAAAAAAGTCTGAAACTAATTTCAACACTGAAAATTTCATCACAGGTATTTATATATGACAACAAATTAAGTAAATGAAATTATAGTTTTACAAAAGGAAGTATCAGGCTAAGAATAAAAGGCATAACTACTGTCCCTATCTCTCTTGAGTTTTTCCTTTAGCATATATTTTCCTAATATTTCCTGAAGATGTGATAAGTAAAAGTATATATAAACATTCATACATGTATAAACATTCGAATGTGACCTCAAAATGTTGCACTCAACATAGAATCATAGAATCATAGAATATCCTGAGTTGGAAGGGACCCTTAAGGATCATCAAGTCCAACTCTTGACACCGCACAGGTCTACCCAAAAGTTCAGACCATGTGACTAAGCGCACAGTCCAATCTCTTCTTAAATTCAGACAGGCTCGGTGCAGTGACCACTTCCCTGGGGAGCCTGTTCCAGTGTGCAACCACTCTCTCTGTGAACATGAGTATATTTAACCAAACAAAATGGCTCATTTTACAAATACTACAAGTATCTCAGAAATAACACAATCAAAGGTGATCTTTAGAATTACACATTACACATAATTTATAATTACACATAAGTTTATTTTTTTTTTCTAAAAAAAAAAAAAGAAAAAAAAAAAGAAAAAGAAAAGAAAAAGTATGTTTCTATTCCTATTTTTCAAATTTAATATTATGGCCTAGTTAGTCTGTGGCTGTAGACCAAGTCGCAAAAATCTGAAACTTTGCCCTTTCCCTCCATGAATGTAGTACCTTTTAACAGTCAACTGTAAGCTGGGTTTCCAAGTGAAATGGTTGCAGCAGCCAATACTACTGGCAAATTTGAATGATGATCAGATAACACCTTTAGAATATGTTGTGGCACCAGGCATGTTATAATTATGAGATATATAACCATGTTTAAAATGCTCCTTGTCAGAGACCTAATATGTATCAGGACTTTGTGAATATATGAAGGAAAGAGAGCTAACTTTTTGCATTCTGACTGCATGCAAAATACAGGTATTTTTAAAATTATTTCTACTGTCCTTAAATAAAGTATTTATTGGCATTTAATGGGGCTAGCAAGTGCATGATGCCCAACTTGCCTTCTTCACAAAAAAAAGTGAACTAGTTATTGACTTATATATTTTTATTTTTATATCCATTAAAGGAATATGCAGAAATAATTTCCATTTAAAAAAGAGAAAGGTGAGTTTTAAGTTGGCAACTTTCTTCCTATAAGGTATTTCTCTTTATCAAATTGGCACCCCCTGGTAGTCAATTTTAGTCTAGCTTTTTCTTTTTTCTTAATGAACCTTATTGAGAAATCTCTGGCAGAGCACTTTAGTAGGAAAAGATTTGTTTTAATCATATCTTTTTTGTGGCAATATATTGTTTTTAAGTAGTTTTATTTAGGAAAAATACCTTAGTTCAAGGATGGAATAAGCCCTTTTGTTTTAACTATTCTGTATGCCAGAAACTTCCTGCTATTGCCCCAGTGATACCATAAAGTAACCAAAGGTAGAGGATATAGCTGATCCACACCAAGATCCACACCAAGAATGAACAACAGAGGAAAGAAATAGGCATCAGAAAATCAACTGCGTTACAACTATTTTTTCAGATGCTAGCATACCTCCAATCATTTTCTCAAACACGTACTAGACTAATAGTTACCTTTAAAAATCTTGTCACCATTAATCTCAGAGTGCAAAACTCAGCTTCTGTAACAAATTAGGTTGGGAGAATGGGAGAAAAATCTCCTTGATTGTGAACGACTAGGAAATAGGCAGTGACACTTATGATCCCCCCTTTCAGAATAAAAGGTTATTCATTTGAACCCTAGTAAAATATGTCATTATCACTATTATATGTGGGTACTACTGGAGCACCTCAGTGTATCTGAAAGAGGTTGTGAAATACAAAATCAGAAGATATATGTGTGGCTTTCAGGTGTTTACATTCAGCTATCCCAGAATGCAAATATTCTGGGAAAAGTAAGCCTATATCTGTGGAGTGGAATAATGGATTTAAGTGCTAAATTGTCAATAGCTTCTAATCTTGTGCTACAAAGATGTCACATTGAGCCTTTTAGCTAAAATCTTGTTGACGTGGAATCTGCCTTGTGAGACACTACAGATTTTTGCTGTTATAAACTCAACTAATGGGAATGAAATTACACTGTTGTTCTCTGGAAGAACACAAGAGTGACTCATGGTCCTAGTCTGGAAACCATAAATATTAAACATCTCTTCTTTGTTCTCTTCTTAGCTCCTGTCCGCTACTTTCAATGTGTTTTCATAAATGGACCTAATGGATTTGGACTACAGTTTCCCACTAATCTCCCTTCAGACAAAGAAGAAAAGACTCACTCAAAGACTTCCAAGAGAAAGACAAGAAAACCAGGACAGTAGAGAGACTGGATCACTCACGTTTGCACTTTATCTTTTCTGCTGAGGTCCACAGTACTTAGGGTGGTACTTGTCATTGCATGAATGTGATCCACTGGGACATATGCACCTGGAAACGTTTCCATGGGGCAGAGGCAAAAGAAACAGTAATGGGCTGTGTAGAAAAAGGTAGAAACGTAAAGGTGCCATGTTTCTCATCAAAAGCCTGCAATGCTAGCAATGAATTGGCCTGATTGTGTGTGAGCAAATGTGTGTGTGATTTCCTGCCTCCTTTGCTCTTGTTTTTCTTTACCTGCTCAGCATTAAAGGGAGTCTGTTTTCCATTTAATCTTATCTAAGGAGTGAGAGGTTGAATGTAGCTCTTATATCAGCAAGATTGCAAGCTACCTGCAATCCTAAATCACTTATTCTTAATGTTCAGTCAAATTGCTGACAGCAAAAAGCCTCACTAAGTCACGAAAATGTGCTCTGCAATTGGTGCTATTTTTATGTCTCATTGACCAGTGTAGTCTGAAGCCCACACATGCTCTCAGCAGCCCAATATACTACCAGTAAGTTGACTCATCAAGTCATGTTAACGATGAATATTTCTATTTATCCTGAAGCAGTTAAAAGCATGGTGTATTTGCCGTGTCTGCTGGTGAAGTACAAGCAGGTCACTTTCTAAAGCCAAACTGAGCAAAGAAAGTGAAACAATACGGCAAAGATGAGGAAAAACATCATTTTACAAAGGTCCCGTGAAACAACAATAATCAATTTTAGTAACTCTACATTATTTTTATTTTTTTTTCCTGCAGGTAAATCAGATTGATTTTGATTTGCAGCAGACCATTAGAATGTAAAATATACCAGCCAACTATTTGCTCTTATCATGTCATATGAAAAACTATGATGTCAGGTGTCACTCATAAAACTAAACCGATCCAAATTTCCAATAAACAAACGTGCCAATTTGATACAAACTCCAGTAAGTGAGAGAAAATAACAATAAATAAAAGCCGAAGTGTATTGGGTAGCTGATTTTACTAGATGAAACCCCTCCATCTAGAAAGGGTTTCTGAGCTATTAGAAGGATGAGAACTGGAAGTAGAACTGACATTCTTCAACATTTGTTAATTTCTGTAGAAATAACGGATTAGTTACCTTAAGAAGGAGATGGGATGACATTAAAGATGTGATGACACATAACTGAAAATTAGCATCTCAATTGTCTGGTACTGTAAATAGTCATGCATTTTTGAGAGCTGTTATTAGTTTGTATTCCTTTGCTATAATTTTGCATTTGGTCTGTGAAAGGTACAGTGGTGATTTTAGTCTCATAGTTACCAGGTGAAACAGCACAATACCCTTTGTACAACCTGGTTGCTTGTAGATTCTGATCACAATAGTAACTATATATTGCTGTTTTAGCATAGTTCCAGTAAACATCAATGCCTTTCCACATCCTCTCTCCTTGCTGACCCATTCTTATCTTAATCAAATAATTGACTCACATGTGTTTCAAACAATTGAGTCCTTGACAGGCTAATGCAATTCAGAAAGCTGTGCTCTTACACTGCTGGGTCAGGCTGGTACTCTCTGATTACCAATCATGGCCTTATGTGAACTGAGATGCAGTCTCATAATGCACAGATCCTTTGCTGCAAAATCTGTATTTACAACAAGTAGCTTCTGGAAAAAGGTAGGAACAGATCTTGCCCTGGAAGTAGATTTCCCTACGTTGGAACATATTGTAACTAAAAGTGTTCATGGTGAATGCCTCCAGTGTCACCTGTGAAATCTGTTCTGGAGACAAGTACAGGGATATAGAGCTGCCAGCAGAAAATACTTTATGATAAAATGTCAATCTTTACTTTTCTTTCAGGCTTTTTTGTATTAGTGGCTTTTTTTCCTTCCTAATTTGTGACTTTTTATATATTATTAAGGATGTTATTGCCTTAGGTTTTTACTGTGAAAGCTGTCTTAAAATGAGATTATAACTTTGTGAAAATCAGTTAATTAAATTCAGGACTTTATCCAATTTCAAAAATCAAGAAAAAAAAAATATACTATAAGATGTTATTCTTTTCAACTTCTTTTACCTAAATAATTTCTGTGCATTATAGTTAGCCTTAATCCTTCTTTCTCATTTGAGTGGAGAGATGACAAGAATATGTTCCATATATCATTCCTGTAATGTTTCAGTTATGTATCTGAATGCTTTGGAAGTATAAATTGAACATTATTGAATAAGTAGTAAAAGTTACACAATTATTTTTGTTTCCTAATCTCAATCTAACTGCATCAAAAAACAGGTAAAACAGTTCTGCTCTTGAGGTGGCAAGTATTTTACTCTTTAAGTTCACATGTGACCTCAAAAAGAATTACTTGAATTGCATGGCTTTACTCAAATTAGGCTGGAGTATTGCAAAATCATATGGTGATTGTTATCCATTTTGGAAAATAAAGAATATAAACCATGTTTCAGTGACTGTAGGATGTTTTTCTGTTAATCCAAATATGGATGGTAAGGGTTTACATATGTAAGTTGTTTATCCCTACTAAGTTTTTACAAATCTTCTGAATATGATGATAGCAGTAGTTACAGTTACTCTGGAAAATGAATCATTCTGCATTTTATTCATTCCTAATGGGCTTTTTGCAATAATTGGATAGACTTCCTACATACTTTGTTTGGGGATTATACTCTGACAGACAAAAGGCAATTTAGTTGCAGTCATTCAAGACAGAGCTTCACGTGTACCAAAATCACATAAGTCCGTCAAGGTGTTTACTTCAAATATTACTATAAAACCAATGAAACCAAAACTGCATTCTCTTATAACTAATCTGTGTTCAAGGTGATTTTGACTAACAAGAAACTGTGAGAGCAAAAATTAAGAGATTTTTTTTCACACCCTACAGGAAATATAGCTTGTCTAAAATATGTGAGCTGATACACAAACCAGATTATGGCCTAAGAGAGCATGGCTGCAGTTGTGGAGCTTTGTATTCAGGTATGAGGGCCCTGTGCTCCATGGAGTTTGGCGATTCTTCACAAATGGGAGGTTTATTGTGCAGCAGGAGAGTTGTATAGGTAGATCAATGTTTTATGAGACCAAACTCCTCTCCCAGTTCTAATCTCCACTTGTCAAAAATGTGCACTTTTCTCTGAGATGCAAAAATTCTGCTGAAGCAAACAGGAGCAGTATATTTCCAGTTTTCTTCACCCATCCTTCTGAGGTTGATAGTGAAAGTATGAGATTGGCTGTTAGACAAGGGTGGCCCACCACAGCTAGTTATTACACAGATCTATACACCACCTGCTCCTACTAATTGTTGCAGAATGGCAACAAATTGCTATTTGTCCCACATTCAGGATCTCCACTTAGAACATAAGATAGAACATAAGATAGAACATACATAAGTGTACATTTGTAAAACACTGCAAAGTTTTTTCCTGTTGATCCCAAACCCTAGAAATACACTGCTAGCTTTTTTTTTTTTGCACTGTCATTTACTACTTGTGTAGCCTAGTTTGGATGCAAAGTTCCCTGCTGAAATATATATATAGAAAGAGATATAACTTTGCTTTAATCCAACAGAACAGAAGTGTAGCAAGCCCAGTTTCAGGGGAATGTCTTTATCTGCCAGGGTATAAACACTCAGAATAGTACCTGAGTATCTTCCCTTTCCTATCTTACCTAATGCTTTCTTTCCACTCCAGCATGACACTATATAATCCACTCAGTACAATGAGAAACAAGAAAAAGACTTACTCCCTTAGGGAGAGCACTGGTTGTTTAAGCAGCTTTCGACTTAAGATAGAGTCAGCCACTGACTGTTCATAGTTACATACCACTTCTAGCACTTCTTACCAAGGACTTGAGATTTTGGAGGTTAAAAAAAAATAATAATAAGGATAAGGATAGCTTAGCTTAGGGATATGGTTTAGCAAGCTTAGGGATATGGTTTAGTGGGGACTGTTAGCGTTAGGTCAGAGGTTGGACTCGATGATCTTGAGGTCTCTTCCAACCTAGAAATTCTGTGATTCTGTGATAATGTGAACTCTATTGGGAGGACAATGGTATGGTACAGTTGATAACTAACAAAAAAAAAAAAAGAGGAAATACAAGGGTTCTCAGGAAGGAACTACCTATGAATATACATTTAAAAAAAAAAAAAAATAGAATAAAGAAGAAGAACAATCTGCTGAAGACAGTGATATTTCTGTTGCTTTATAGTTTTCCAGAAAGAAGAAACACAAAGGCAATTAAAAATATGAAGAACATTTGATTTTTACACATGTAAATGTCAATAGATATCCAGCTTTCATGTCGTCTATTTATCCTGAGTGAAATTCTCCAAAAATTCCCAAATTGCAGAACAGGTAAGGAATCATGTTCACCTATGGGTAATACCTCACTCAATAGAGTGTACCTCTCAAAGCAGAAGTCTTATCCTTTTATTTAAGCGGTTAATGAACATGACCATTTGAGCTTATTTTCTTGATTTATGGGTTTTGTGTGTGCTCCTTTGTAACACAAAAATTCACACAACAATAATCTGTTCTGCAGTACTCATGTCTCAGGGACTATATTAGTTAGAAATTTTCTTTATTGTCTTGTCTCTTTTTATGACAGAAATCAGTAAAATTTGTAGAACACAATTTTATTTTGCCTGATCAAAAGCTGTAATATTTGCTTTTGTAATTTTAACATTCCTCATTTTTGTGCTTAATTTTGCTCACAAATATAATTGTTCTCCCATCTACCACATCTAAAGAAACACTTAAACAACTTCTTTATGAACTGAGGGGAACTGCGAAATGAAGGTCTTCTCTTTTTTGGCCCTGTTAAGGAAATGGAAACATAAAGCTGCTGACATTAAAATTCCAACACACTTTCCAGCTGAATGACAAAGATATAAATGCACATTTATTGTGTAACCCACTTTCCATGCTTTTCTTTCTTTCAGAAGTTGAACAATGCAAAGAGGGAGCCTTGGGTACCATGCTGTTAAATTACAGCTTAGCTATGGCATCTCAGTGAATAAAAAGGCAACATGAAGACAACTTGATGAGAATGTTCCATATGCCTAAGTACCGTATCTTCCTGTCAAAGTGATATGGCCACCCTTTCTCAAAACTGATTATCTTTGTTCTCTCCTTGACCTTGATGTGAGTGGGTGTAAGTCCGGTTTGCGAAAACCTGCGTAAATCACTACTGCTCAGAGTTTTTTTAGAATGTGGAAGTCAATACAATGTTCTGCTGTAATGTGCATGCATATGTGAGTGAAAACCTAGATATATAATCCTTGCATACCTGCCACTGACATTTCAGTTAAAATGACATGTTCTCTGACAGATCATTAATAAACTAGAACAAGGAAGCTGGAGTGGTCAGTCAAATACCACCAACCTTTCCAAATTCACAGAGAAATATATTTAAAAAAAAAAAATAAAAAAGTAGAAATTAAGATAAAAGCTAATAAAAAAATACGGTTTTTTGTTTGTTTGTTTGTTTGTTTGCTTTAAATAGGATCCTATATAACTATTTTAAATCAGATAAAGTTTCCTTTTTAGTTACTTGTCAAGTGCATTTTCCCATGAGTGCCTTGCCAATTTATGCATCATCTCTGGGCATAAGTCAATAAGGTTATTGATATTACTAGAATTCTACAGACTTTAAGGATATTTGGATCCAACCCTGAATGCACTTTTTTAACTGACTGGTCCTTTAGCTACTCATTTTGGAAACTTCCCTAAAAAATAAAAGAGAAACCTGATGTACCAAAACACTTTCACATTTTCAAACCTAAAGCAGAAAATGTACTTGTAAGATAATTACCAATGACAATAAGGTTATTAAATGCTAAATGACAATGAAAATGAAACATCTGGGTGTTTCAGCTTCCAGAAAATAAAATCAACAGCATGCTTATAATTTGCCTGCAACCTAATGATTTAAGGAAAAAAAATTGTCTAGACATTTTCAGTTTATAGCAGCACTGTTGATGTCATATAGTTTCATTGGGTTAGAATCAGCATGATTTATAAATCAGTGTAACCAAAAGCAGAAATATTGTCAGATGAAGTATGAGAGTCCTATTCACTTTGGTCACAGGGGTGTTTTATAAATATATTAGTTTGTAAACAGATGTATCATGGACAGTAGTGACTGGCACACTCCACCGAAAAGGGTTTCTGCAATTTAGTTGACATCATAAATTCTGTGAAAAGAAATTTTAACAATAGAGCAGTTGTTAAGTGGAAGTGTTACTCAAACCTTGATATCTTTCATCCTTTATATTGAGAATGCTACAAGAATTTATATACTGTGCAACTATTGCAAGTCTTTTGCTTCCAGGAATGTACCATTCTCTACTTCTACTTAGGTACATGCATATTTTTTGGAGTGTTAAAGCCGTTATCTAACATTCATTCTCTAAATTCATTCTCTAAAATTAAATCATTGGCTAAGATGCAAAAGCCTAGTTTTAGAATGGAGCTGAGTGTTTTAGGCTTACAGAACTATCACTGTAATCAACTTTTGTATTTGATTTTAAATCAGCCACTTCTGTTCATTTTTTTTTCTTCTTTTATTTTTTTATATACTGATCTTAACCAAAACTTTTAACTGTAAAAATAAAAAAAAAAATAAAAAAATTAAAATTAAATTGGGAGGCTCTTTGATACTTTTAGTAAGATCACTGAGTAATAGACTGGAATAGACTTATCCAGTTTTTCCATAAAATTTCAAGGTTGTTTGTAAATAATAGCAATGGATACTTAAGTCCAGAATTATGTAACATAGATGTTGTCTTCTGAGATGTCAGAAATGATTGTTTCATGCACTGGGGATGGCATCTTACCTGTTGATAGCTCAAATACTCATCACTTGAAAAGAACAATCTGAGGACATAACTTTCATAGCCATTGTGAAAATAACACCCAAAGACTGATGAGAAGAAATGTCTATGTGTGTGTGTGTGTGTGGATGCAGCAAAGCACATGTATTCCTGTGGGCATGCACATGCAGAACACTAAGTGCTTTCCCTTAGCACACGTATGTAAATTCTTGGAATGTAAAGCCAAAAAAATCCCTTATATTTAATACTGTTTTTATATCAAGTCCAATAAATCAAGCTGGAATGAAACACTACAGTTTAAAGCTCAACGTATTGGACAAATTGAAGAGAAATTTGTAGATTAAGTGCTGTCTTTCTTCCATGTTGCCTGCATTTATAGGAGGTCTCAGTCTCCAGTACTCCCCAGACTCCCCTTTTCTCCAAAACTAAAATTATTTTAGTACATTATTTTAGTATTTTATTTTACATCAGTGTTTTGCCATGGATATCAATGAAGCTATGCCCATTTATTTTTAGATGTAACCACAAAAATCACACTTTGCCTACCAGGAACATCTGCAAGTGGCACAGATCTGCATAAATCCCTTTAGTGAAGTTCTTTAGCAGAGGAAATAGTG